TAACTGGCGATGATAACCAGATGAGATTCACGGACACACAGCGAAATTGCTGAATTCAAATGTAAAATGCTCACAGAGACACACTCATACCGACACCATACACCACATCACAACGCAGGGCCACACAACACGCATCAACCCAAGAGTACACAAAACAACACAACAAACCTCAAAACGCTCTCTCACATACATATACACAAGGCGATACGAGACAACACAACACAACACAAAACATTCCTCGAAAATCACCAGTCAACATCACTGATCATTCAGAGTTGATAATGTCGCTAACCCCTTCCACCAATTGTGCATCATTCACATCAAAATATTCTCCTCCACCTCTCTGTATCTCTCTCACTACACCCACTCCCTCTCCCTCTTTCTCCGCAGGAACACAACCAGTCGCAAATCAGTCAGAAAGCACTGCGTCAGCTGGCACTGATCAACAGTTGACTACCACGCCTCAATTCCTGTCAGAAACACCAGGTGAGTGAGTTCATTATTCACCCAACACTCGCCCTCTCCACTCCTATCAATCCACCAACTCAGCCTTCATAATCCATCCAGCAGTGTGCATCAACCAGCATCCACTTCACTCGGCCTATCACACAAACAAACACAACAGCCTACACACGAACAAACAAACAACGCAAAAGCAAATATCAAGCTAGCCAACCAACCAACCAACCCACAATGAAACAAAGAACTAACTAACTAACTAACTGGCGATGATAACCAGATGAGATTCACGGACACACAGCGAAATTGCTGAATTCAAATGTAAAATGCTCACAGAGACACACTCATACCGACACCATACACCACATCACAACGCAGGGCCACACAACACGCATCAACCCAAGAGTACACAAAACAACACAACAAACCTCAAAACGCTCTCTCACATACATATACACAAGGCGATACGAGACAACACAACACAACACAAAACATTCCTCGAAAATCACCAGTCAACATCACTGATCATTCAGAGTTGATAATGTCGCTAACCCCTTCCACCAATTGTGCATCATTCACATCAAAATATTCTCCTCCACCTCTCTGTATCTCTCTCACTACACCCACTCCCTCTCCCTCTTTCTCCGCAGGAACACAACCAGTCGCAAATCAGTCAGAAAGCACTGCGTCAGCTGGCACTGATCAACAGTTGACTACCACGCCTCAATTCCTGTCAGAAACACCAGGTGAGTGAGTTCATTATTCACCCAACACTCGCCCTCTCCACTCCTATCAATCCACCAACTCAGCCTTCATAATCCATCCAGCAGTGTGCATCAACCAGCATCCACTTCACTCGGCCTATCACACAAACAAACACAACAGCCTACACACGAACAAACAAACAACGCAAAAGCAAATATCAAGCTAGCCAACCAACCAACCAACCCACAATGAAACAAAGAACTAACTAACTAACTAACTGGCGATGATAACCAGATGAGATTCACGGACACACAGCGAAATTGCTGAATTCAAATGTAAAATGCTCACAGAGACACACTCATACCGACACCATACACCACATCACAACGCAGGGCCACACAACACGCATCAACCCAAGAGTACACAAAACAACACAACAAACCTCAAAACGCTCTCTCACATACATATACACAAGGCGATACGAGACAACACAACACAACACAAAACATTCCTCGAAAATCACCAGTCAACATCACTGATCATTCAGAGTTGATAATGTCGCTAACCCCTTCCACCAATTGTGCATCATTCACATCAAAATATTCTCCTCCACCTCTCTGTATCTCTCTCACTACACCCACTCCCTCTCCCTCTTTCTCCGCAGGAACACAACCAGTCGCAAATCAGTCAGAAAGCACTGCGTCAGCTGGCACTGATCAACAGTTGACTACCACGCCTCAATTCCTGTCAGAAACACCAGGTGAGTGAGTTCATTATTCACCCAACACTCGCCCTCTCCACTCCTATCAATCCACCAACTCAGCCTTCATAATCCATCCAGCAGTGTGCATCAACCAGCATCCACTTCACTCGGCCTATCACACAAACAAACACAACAGCCTACACACGAACAAACAAACAACGCAAAAGCAAATATCAAGCTAGCCAACCAACCAACCAACCCACAATGAAACAAAGAACTAACTAACTAACTAACTGGCGATGATAACCAGATGAGATTCACGGACACACAGCGAAATTGCTGAATTCAAATGTAAAATGCTCACAGAGACACACTCATACCGACACCATACACCACATCACAACGCAGGGCCACACAACACGCATCAACCCAAGAGTACACAAAACAACACAACAAACCTCAAAACGCTCTCTCACATACATATACACAAGGCGATACGAGACAACACAACACAACACAAAACATTCCTCGAAAATCACCAGTCAACATCACTGATCATTCAGAGTTGATAATGTCGCTAACCCCTTCCACCAATTGTGCATCATTCACATCAAAATATTCTCCTCCACCTCTCTGTATCTCTCTCACTACACCCACTCCCTCTCCCTCTTTCTCCGCAGGAACACAACCAGTCGCAAATCAGTCAGAAAGCACTGCGTCAGCTGGCACTGATCAACAGTTGACTACCACGCCTCAATTCCTGTCAGAAACACCAGGTGTGTGTTGGTAGTTAGATACATTTATAGTTCCTGATATTTATGGGGCCAAATTAGATTGCTACTAGATGGTGATTTGTATAGAATGTTTTATTCTTAGGCATACGTTCACAAATTTGTAATATATTTATCCATTCTGAACTGAATTGCAGTGTGTCAGTTGTTAAACGACTTCAATATGTCGTCTAGATTTTCTTCGTTGTTCACGATAATGTGGTTGTCGTCGACGTATCTGCCTGAAGATAATGATCAATACCTTGGAAGTCTTTAAAAGATACTTCGACGACATCTTCATTTTTGTCAACAACGAAGAAAATCTAGACGACATCTTGAAGTCGTTTAACAACTGCCACCCTGCAAATCAGTTCACGATGGAGGCAGTGTCCAACTACACAATATCTTTTCTTGACGTCCAACTAACAAGAAGAGAACAGGATGGAACACTGAAAGGACCTATCCACATAAAATCGACGTGGAACGGACAGCCTACTAACTTTCACAGTTGGGTACCACTATACACCAAACGAAACCTGATCCGTTCACTCAGCTATAGAGTTCGCAGAATTTGCACCCGGAACACCATAGAAGATGAACTGGACAACCTCAAGAGAATCCTCGTCGAGAGTTGCTATCTGGAAAGATTTATTGCAAAATCTACGAACCCTAGACCAGAAAAGCCGCCCATACTTAGCGTCAAGAAAAAACTACTCTTTATGAACCTTCAATTCAATGGAGATTTATCTGCGGAAACACTAAAAAATCAACTGTCGCGCTAACTTAAGAAGACCTTCTTCGCTGCTGAACTACGACTAACCTTCCCCACAAAACATATGATTCATGTGAACGTGAAGGATAAGCTACCGCTGCTGGCCTCATCAATGTGCATTTATCAGTTCACCTGCTCGTGTGGAGCCAGGTATGTCGGCCGTACCCAACGCTCGCTTTCCAAACGTATCATCGAGCACTTACCAACATAATTTTACAAAGGAGAAAATCGATGCCCCGCAGTTCCATCTTAGAACATCTGATAGAATCCGGACACCAAGCTACACGGCAAACAAACTTCAAAGTCGTCTACAGAGTAAGAAGTAGTCTCCCTAAAGGTGTACGAATCAGACTTCTTCAAACTGCAGGAGCAATGGCGATTCGCTTGCTAAGTCCTGAACTCTGCATACAGAAGAAGTTCGTTTAATCACTACACTTGCAATGGACGTAATCTATCTTATTAGCCGACACGTAAATTCTACCTAATCTTTTCTTCTGTCTCTTCATTAGTATTATTTTGTCTTCTCAATTGTAACATTTTACATTTTCAACTTGTTCTCTACCCCCACCCGATTCAATCTCTACACCTCACTACCACTGTTACTGACTTGAACTCGCTCAGGTTCTAGTCATTCATGTTACGTCATCCAACTTATTCACTTAATATCACTTCTACTTAATCTCTACCTGTAATTACCTCTGTTGCTATCCTGACCTAAGTTGTAACATTTTAGCCAATTATATTACGTCATCTAGCTTTTCAACTCAATCTTACTTTAGTTGCTGTCCGATTAACTTTGTATCTATACTACATCATTCTTGTATTAACTCATCAATTATCTAAACTTGGCAAACCTCATGTACACACACACACATAAATATTTATATATAAATGCGATTGTACAGCTATGTGAATGAATTCGCCGAAAAGAGTCTCTTCGCTGAATGTCTTCTCTTTTTCATATGACTCAATGTGGATTTTCAATCTATAAATTGATAAATAGATCCACAGTTAGTTAGACGAATAGATAAAAAAGAGATATACAGATAGATGTACAATTAGAGATAGATAGATAGAGAGATTGAAAGATGGTGCGATAAAAAGATAAATGGATAGATAGATAGATAGAGGGAAAGAAAGATATTTAGATATATAGAGAGACAAATTGAATGACAGTCAGATAGACAGATAGATAGATGGATAGATAAATAGATAGATAGATAGATAGATAGATAGATAGATAGATAGATAGATAGATAGATATATATATAAGTACATAGATAGGCAGGTAGATAGATGGACAGATAGGTAGATAGATATAGAGGTATTTTGGAGATGATTCTGCTTGTAGTTAGTTACTTGTAAATGCTCAGGTTTGTACTTACAGAGCCATACATCTGCATTAATAATGGCTTCATATATATTGATAAATGAATTTGCAGATAAACAGATATATACTACTTTAGAAATTAACTCGGATACACTCGAATGCGTTAACTGTAATCGAGAGTAATGGGAATGAATTTAATCGCAGTGTTGACCTGTGAATTTCAATGAACGCTGAAATGAAGTATGATTTCATTTGTATTTAATGAAAGAATTTCCTCGTGAATAGAATGTTATGAAATGTGTCTTTGAATATTGCTTTCAGAGGACAGCGACGAAGGCGAAAATGGAGGTGAGTGTCTGGTGTTTTGTTGATCCATGGCATTCAGCACAGCCTTGTCGAGATGTCATTTTCACCACGCCCAAGTATCACTCATTCACTCACTCACTCTACCAATCCATCGCTCACTGAGAGGCACTCCGATTCACTCACTGACAATATCTAACGTTGATGATTTCATCGATTGATTCATTTCATCTATATGCAGCAAAGTTGTTTGTGTTTCCTGTGAGTGAGTGAGTGGTTGACTGGTCCAGTATATTGTCAATGTGCATGAAGTTGCATCCGAAATTCCGCCATCTAACCACACACGATCCACTACACACGCATACACACCCCTACACACTGCAAGTCTCCACACTCAACCAATTCAGTTTCATCTAATCACATAGGCAATCGCCACTGAACTCTGTCTCCACAACAAGATTTCCTCGCAACTGTTTCACCTGCATCAACCCATTAGCCAGATGGGAAGCAAATGTGATGATCGGTTTACATCGCCTTGTAGGTATTTGTGTGAGAGTTGAAATCTGGCTTACTCGTCATTGCTCTACTCATCTTCATACACTCGTGCTTATCAATGATCGTGTGTTTCATGTGAGTCAGTAGCGATCCTGTGGAAGACAAGCGAAATCAGTCGACGAATAACTCCGTGGAAAGAGAGAGAGCTGTATGGATGGATTTATGGAAAGATAGGCGTAAAACTGATAGATGCATAGATAGACCGAGAGATCCATAGTTACGTGGATAGATGGACAGATTAATAATCGGTTAGATATATGGATAATTGAGCAGACAGTTGGATGCACAGGTGGTTAAGCAGATATTTAGATGGATATCCCGTTAAATACGTCGAAACATAGATAGATAGACAGATAGATAATTAGACAGATAGAAGAAGATAGATAGATAGACAGACTGATAGACAGGTGGATAGATAGATAGACAGTTAGACAGATTGATAGTAAGATAAAAAAGATAGATAGATAGATAGATAAGAAGATAGATAGCTAGATATGTAGATAGATGCAATGGCTTGTGTGTTGGTAGATAGTTGGTTGTAAAATGTACAGGTTCGTTTTTACGTCGGTAGTCAGATGCATCAATATTTGCTCGATGTGTATAGATGAATGCATCTGCAGATATACACACGGATAATTCTTTAACCATACACACGAATTCATTCGACTGAGTTAACTGTAATCGAGAGTAATGGGAATGAATTTAATCGCAGTGTTGACCTGTGAATTTCAATGGACACTGAAATGAAGTATGATTTCATTTGTATTTGATGAAAGAACTTCCTCCTGAATAGAAGGTTATGAAATGTGTCTTTGAATATTGCTTTCAGAGGACAGCGACGAAGGCGAAAATGGAGGTGAGTGTCTGGTATTTTGTTGATCCATGGCATTCAGCACAGCCTTGTTGAGATGTCATTTTCACCACGCCCAAGTATCACTCATTCACTCACTCACTCTACCAATCCATCGCTCACTGAGAGGCACTCCGATTCACTCACTGACAATATCTAACGTTGATGATTTCATCGATTGATTCATTTCATCTATATGCAGCAAAGTTGTTTGTGTTTCCTGTGAGTGAGTGAGTGATTGACTGGTCCAGTATATTGTCAATGTGCATGAAGTTGCATCCGAAATTCCGCCTACCGACTACACACGATCCACAACACACGCATACACACCCCTACACACTGCAAGTCTCCACACTCAACCAATTCAGTTTCATCTAATCACATAGGCAATCGCCACTGAACTCTGTCTCCACAACAAGATTTCCTCGCAACTGTTTCACCTGCATCAACCCATTAGCCAGATGGGAAGCAAATGTGATGATCGGTTTACATCGCCTTGTAGGTATTTGTGTGAGAGTTGAAATCTGGCTTACTCGTCATTGCTCTCCTCATCTTCATACACTCGTGCTTATCAATGATCGTGTGTTGCATGTGAGTCAGTAGCGATCCTGTCGAAGACAAGCGAAATCAGTCGACGAATAACTCCGTGGAAAGAGAGAGAGCTGTATGGATGGATTTATGGAAAGATAGGAGTGAAACTGATAGATGCATAGATAGACCGAGAGATCCATAGTTACGTGGATAGATGGACAGATAGATAAATTGTTAGATATATGGATAATTTGGCAGACAGTTGGATGCAGAGGTGGTTAAGCAGATATTTAGATGGATATCCCGTTAAATACGTCGAAACATAGATAGATAGACAGATAGATAATTAGACAGATAGAAGATAGATAGATAGATAGACTGATAGACAGGTGGATAGATAGATAGACAGTTAGACAGATTGATAGTAAGATAAAAAAGATAGATAGATAGATAGATAAGAAGATAGATAGCTAGATCTGTAGATAGATGCAATGGCTTGTGTGTTGGTAGATAGTTGGTTGTAAAATGTACAGGTTCGTTTTTACCTCGGTAGTCAGATGCATCAATATTTGCTCGATGTGTATAGATGAATGCATCTGCAGATATGCACACGGATAATTCTTTAACCATACACACGAATTCATTCGACTGAGTTAACTGTAATCGAGAGTAATGGGAATGAATTTAATCGCAGTGTTGACCTGTGAATTTCAATGGACACTGAAATGAAGTATGATTTCATTTGTATTTAATGAAAGAACTTCCTCGTGAATAGAAGGTTATGAAATGTGTCTTTGAATATTGCTTTCAGAGGACAGCGACGAAGGCGAAAATGGAGGTGAGTGTCTGGTGTTTTGTTGATCCATGGCATTCAGCACAGCCTTGTCGAGATGTCATTTTCACCACGCCCAAGTATCACTCATTCACTCACTCACTCTACCAATCCATCGCTCACTGAGAGGCACTCCGATTCACTCACTGACAATATCTAACGTTGATGATTTCATCGATTGATTCATTTCATCTATATGCAGCAAAGTTGTTTGTGTTTCCTGTGAGTGAGTGAGTGATTGACTGGTCCAGTATATTGTCAATGTGCATGAAGTTGCATCCGAAATTCCGCCTTCTAACCACACACGATCCACAACACACGCATACACACCCCTACACACTGCAAGTCTCCACACTCAACCAATTCAGTTTCATCTAATCACATAGGCAATCGCCACTGAACTCTGTCTCCACAACAAGATTTCCTCGCAACTGTTTCACCTGCATCAACCCATTAGCCAGATGGGAAGCAAATGTGATGATCGGTTTACATCGCCTTGTAGGTATTTGTGTGAGAGTTGAAATCAGGCTTACTCGTCATTGCTCTCCTCATCTTCATACACTCGTGCTTATCAATGATCGTGTGTTGCATGTGAGTCAGTAGCGATCCTGTGGAAGACATGCGAAATCAGTCGACGAATAACTCCGTGGAAAGAGAGAGAGCTGTATGGATGGATTTATGGAAAGATAGGAGTGAAACTGATAGATGCATAGATAGACCGAGAGATCCATAGTTACGTGGATAGATGGACAGATAGATAAATTGTTAGATATATGGATAATTTGGGAGACAGTTGGATGCAGAGGTGGTTAAGCAGATATTTAGATGGATATCCCGTTAAATACGTCGAAACATAGATAGATAGACAGATAGATAATTAGACAGATAGACAGATAGATAGATAGATAGACTGATAGACAGGTGGATAGATAGATAGACAGTTAGACAGATTGATAGTAAGATAAAAAAGATAGATAGATAGATAGATAAGAAGATAGATAGCTAGATCTGTAGATAGATGCAATGGCTTGTGTGTTGGTAGATAGTTGGTTGTAAAATGTACAGGTTCGTTTTTACGTCGGTAGTCAGATGCATCAATATTTGCTCGATGTGTATAGATGAATGCATCTGCAGATATACAGACGGATAATTCTTTAACCATACACACGAATTCATTCGACTGAGTTAACTGTAATCGAGAGTAATGGGAATGAATTTAATCGCAGTGTTGACCTGTGAATTTCAATGAACGCTGAAATGAAGTATGATTTCATTTGTATTTAATGAAAGAACTTCCTCGTGAATAGAAGGTTATGAAATGTGTCTTTGAATATTGCTTTCAGAGGACAGCGACGAAGGCGAAAATGGAGGTGAGTGTCTGGTGTTTTGTTGATCCATGGCATTCAGCACAGCCTTGTCGAGATGTCATTTTCACCACGCCCAAGTATCACTCATTCACTCACTCACTCTACCAATCCATCGCTCACTGAGAGGCACTCCGATTCACTCACTGACAATATCTAACGTTGATGATTTCATCGATTGATTCATTTCATCTATATGCAGCAAAGTTGTTTGTGTTTCCTGTGAGTGAGTGAGTGATTGACTGGTCCAGTATATTGTCAATGTGCATGAAGTTGCATCCGAAATTCCGCCATCTAACCACACACGATCCACAACACACGCATACACACCCCTACACACTGCAAGTCTCCACACTCAACCAATTCAGTTTCATCTAATCACATAGGCAATCGCCACTGAACTCTGTCTCCACAACAAGATTTCCTCGCAACTGTTTCACCTGCATCAACCCATTAGCCAGATGGGAAGCAAATGTGATGATCGGTTTACATCGCCTTGTAGGTATTTGTGTGAGAGTTGAAATCAGGCTTACTCGTCATTGCTCTACTCATCTTCATACACTCGTGCTTATCAATGATCGTGTGTTGCATGTGAGTCAGTAGCGATCCTGTGGAAGACAAGCGAAATCAGTCGACGAATAACTCCGTGGAAAGAGAGAGAGCTGTATGGATGGATTTATGGAAAGATAGGAGTAAAACTGATAGATGCATAGATAGACCGAGAGATCCATAGTTACGTGGATAGATGGACAGATTAATAATCGGTTAGATATATGGATAAATGAGCAGACAGATAGATACCTAGGTAGTTATGCAGACATTTTCGTGGATATCTACTAACTAGCTATGTAGATGGATAGGTAGATTGATCGATACAAAATTAGGTAGATAGTTGGATATGTGTATAGATAGATAGATAGATAGATAGTTAGATAGTTAGATTAATGGATGTATATTAAGATGCATACGTGCATAATTACGTGGTTACTTGGATATATCGAGAGATATTTTCATAGTTGAATATATATATAGCTAAATGTATTGGAAGATAAACAGACAGATAAATGGATAACAATTCACGCGGATTCCTTCAACTGGGTGAACTGCAGTCGAGAGTAACGGGAGTAAAATTAATCGTAGTGTAGAGGAGTGCATTTCTATGAACGGTGATATGCAGTATGATTTCATTTGTATTTTCTGAAAGAACTTCCTCGCGAATCCAAGTTTACCTAATATATCTTCTTTTGATTTCAGACGACACAGTGAAGAACGATAGTGGAAGTGAGTCTCCGGTGCCCAGTTGATTAACAGCCTTCGTCAGTGCCTTATTGAGATGCCATATTCACCATACTCAGGTCTCAATCATTCACTCACTAACTCACTCAGTGAGAGCCACTCCGATTCACTCACTGACAATATCTAACGTTGATGATTTCATCGATTGATTCATTTCATCTATATGCAGCAAAGTTGTTTGTGTTTCCTGTGAGTGAGTGAGTGATTGACTGGTCCAGTATATTGTCAATGTGCATGAAGTTGCATCCGAAATTCCGCCATCTAACCACACACGATCCACTACACACGCATACACACCCCTACACCTCAAGTCTCCACATTCAACGAAATTCAGTTTCATCTAATCACATAGGCAATCGCCACTGAACCCTGTCTCCACAACACGATTTCGTCACATCCGTTTTAGTTCAAAAGCCTATTTTTCTCAATCTCTTTTAATTTCTTGTATTTCTAATTTTTGATTTTTTGGTTTTATTCCTTCTATTTTGCTTTAATCACTGTTTACTTTCTTCTCTTTTGAGATTTTTGATTTTCTTTTTCTGTTGATTTATTCTCATTTCCTCTCAATAACCTATCCTTCGTTACCTTTTTTAGTGTTTTGTTAAGTTTTCGCTTCTTTTTATCATATTCTTAGTGAATATTTTTAGATTTTTTATCCTTCGCTTACTTGTCACTGAGAATTTTTTTTATTATTTTTACTATTTTAAATTCAGTGCTCCCTGATTTTTTGTATTTTTTGAAGAAATATTTTCTATTTCACAATGTTTCAAGTAATGGTATTAGGCTTGTTGACGGGAGATGTGACGACAGTCTGTTTTGATTTCTGTTGATTCTTTTCAATTTGAATGCTTTTTGTATCATATCACTCATGGCCTTTACATCTAAAGCGCTGCATACTTCGTTAAGTAATGTATTCCTACGTTACCACGATTGTCAACTTAAAGTATGCTTGAAAGCATTTTGCGAATCGAGGACACTTGTGATTGGTTAAGACAATAAGAATTAGAGAAAGTTAGCCGCGTTTTTTTGGGTGGAATTTCAGTCAGTCCAGTGATTCATGCGAGCCAATACATTTGATGATCAGCATTTGTGCTGGTCCTTGTGAATTTTCCTCTTCATACTAACTTGTTGTTTTTCAGTCAGTGCAGCTTTTAGTTGTTTGTGATTGGTGTGCGTTTTCTTAACAGAAACCACTTGAATCTCATTTCCCTTCCATTTTATTTCAAGGTGGTGCTGAAAAGCCTTTCTATAAATGTAAGCGTTTACTACAGTTTGTTACGGTGATGTCCTCTCCCATACAATAGGCTTTTTATTGTTAGACTATTATTAGCTGTTAGAGAGAGTTTTGTTGATTATCTCTTCTCTGCTTTACAAAAAGTATGTTCCATCCTCACTGGTGTAGTGGATTGTCAACTTCATTTCTCCCTATCGGATTTTCAATCTGCTACCGATTTTTCAGCAAGGTTTCTTCTGTCACGTATTTTTGTTTTCGATTACAGTGACCTGACACAACATTTTGTGATGGCTGCCTCACCTTTTACTTGCGACTGTAATGTACCTTAGCTTACAATAGCTGGTAGAGTTTCTGCATTTATGTGAACACTCGTTGTAGAGACATTCTTATGTATACAACTGACTTTCCATTGTTAGTATGAAGACTCGATTTCCGTCGGCCTAGAGGATACTTTGTTAACATTGTAGCCCACTGAAAATCATTTACTCCGGACATCATCTTTCCACTGTAGAAGAATCAATACCACCATGATTATTTTCAGAGGTGTAGGCATCTCCAAACAAAATTGAATTAGGTAGATCAGTTTTACTTCAAGGCAGTAAAATGCATAGTGAGATGAGTGTAACTTCTGATTAAGGAGATGTTTGCTTTTAGTTTGTGGACTTCAGAAATAGTTCAATCCTCCAATTATCTGATTTTCATGTATTGGTTTTTCTGGGGATTTTGTTTGATTTGTTAGACGATTTCATCATGAGCTAACATCAGCCAGAGAACCATTGGAAAACCTGGGTGTGTTGGACAGTTGTTCTATGCATTTTTGAGACTTTTCATCAGTACGCACCCACCGACAGAGTTCTAACCAAGCACCTTCCGGTTACAAGGCTGGCGAGCTCGTAGAAGATGAAGCCACTGGACCTCGTTCTAATGGCCCATGAATTCTAACTTTTGCCATCTGTGTGACCACAACGTGTGCGTTGGTGGCACAGCAGATAGGACTCCCACCGACCATGCACATGGTTGTGGGTTCAACGCACACCTGATATCTATGGTCGGCCTGCAAAATTTGGGCTACTGATATCAAATGCTGTACCAAAATACTGTGGAATCAAGCTGTAATAAAAAAATGTCTGCTTCGATGAGTTACTGCCTCATTTTCAACCTCCTGTAACCTACTGGTCACAGCTTTCCACTGGAACCACAGGTAACTGCCTGAATAGTGTAGTTAACTCACCAATTTTCTGATTTCTTATATCACGTCTTCAGCAAGAAGCAATCGTTCCTCATCCTAATTCATCATACCAAAGGATATAATTTTTGTGTGAACGTTTGACTTGGTAAATTATTTAGAGTTAATTAAATAGCAGGAGGGAAATCTTTTTCTATATTTTAGATGATAAGCGATTTTCATTAGAGGAATACGCAGATTCATATCGTGATGTTCTGAGTTATAAATGTATGTGTTTTTTTTCACCAAAAATTATTTTATGGTTGTCTCTTCCCCTTAGACTCTTCTTTGACACTCAGTGTTCACTTCCTCTTACTACTCCTACCGCTTGCCATGATTTGTAGATGGTTAATCAATAAATTCAGTCACTGTAGATATTGAGTAGCTATTAAAATCTCTTTTGCAAATGCACGTTTCCGTAGAAATTCGAGGATATATATTTCTCACATCAGAAGATGCATGTAATGTCACCTGAATGTAACAACTTGCAAATAATTGTTGTGAAGTAGAGCGGGAAAATGGTACCTTTACGCAAGAGGTAGTGTCTCATCTATTTCAGGAAGCTTGGTAATCCTTAGGAGAACAATTTGTATACAGACGGATGTTGCAGACTGAGATGAGTTGAATAGCAGTATTGTAGGTGAGACTGAGAGGCCTGATCATTCAGCACTGGTTACCATCAGATCATGCGAGAAATAGATACATTTACCTGGAGATGTGTCGGTAATGCACGGAATACAGTTACTACATGAATAATTAGTTACACAAAGACAGAGAACCTGATTTCATGTTGCGTAAAGGTCGACATTAATTCTGTCAGAACCTTTAGTCAACAATTAAATAATCCATATACTTCACACATATTTCCACCCTTTTGTATGTTTTAGTTCTCATGGCTGAAATTCAAACATACGAAAATCCTCAGAATGGAGAAGAAACAATAAGACGTGGTGAGTAATTTTATCAAGATCTCTACACGGCCGCATGTAAATATAAGCCATAAATATATGGTGAGGCCTTTTTTCAATCAGTAGGTTTTGTTATTTCATGCAATTTGTAGCATTACTTATTCTTATGATTTGAAAATGAACACTTGTGGTCCTTTTGAGGATGAATAAGTATCTCGTTTGTTTGCAATCAAGTGACAAAGATGAAATTTACTTCCTGGTCTATGCTTGATAACATCTATGGTACCAGAACAACTTTGACTGATTCTAATGGTTGAAATAATGCCAGTCTAGTGTGTTGCACGAAACATTTTTCATCAAAAGAGACATATTCACCTTCATACCTTTGCTGCTGAGTGAAATGTCATCCCTGTCTGGTGATGTGAAGCACATCACGGAAATCAATGAACTCACTTGTGGGTGCAGTGGAAGATTCTTTGTTTGAACTGAATAATGGTGGGAGCTATTTAGGCTGGAAAAGTAGTCTGGGGTTCAGTGTTGTCTTCTGCTCTCTTAGCCACTCTAAGCCTCTTTTTAAGATAACTATTATTGTTACCCTCCAGAGTTTCGACTTGAAAATAATACCTCAACTGCACATCTCCATACTATCTTTCTCTCTACAGTCCTTTGTCGCTGCCTCAACCACTGTCAACTTACCTCCCATTCTCACCCACATAATCTCCACAATGTCACTGTCATATCACCGATCACCTCCACATTTCCCGTTTACATTCCTCTAAACGGAGTGGCATGTGATATCGGTCAACGGTCTCCTCAACGCTTATACAATCCACATTCATTTCAATTTACATTTATTTGAGCGGTGGGTTCATGATTGGTTTGTCGTAAGACTTCATTGTTTCTATTGTTTTCTGGCTTCTTTTCCTTTAGTGCTAGAGCACTAAAGTCAAGTGTTGGCAAAAGTCTGCAGCTGACTGTTCTGAATCCTTTTGTAAACATGATAAGCCTGCGAATCATGTAGAAGCATTGTTTTAACGTCAGCATTGAGGATCCAGATTTTTTTCCTTATAAAGAGTGGAATAAACTCGCCTACTGATTTGAAAGCAGTGAAATTCTGTCCTGTTTTTACGACGTAAGCTGACTGAGTAGTCCTCCCTCTTGCCGCCCCGTGTAGTTGAAACGATGCTGTCCAGATAAGTAAGAGAAATGACTTCCCTTGCACTTCTGCTAATGCTGTTAGTTGGTTGTGCGCATGACCTCTATTATATCTATGCTCACCTGAAGACGTGTCTCCACCGGTTTATTCTTCCGCCGACGTGTTTGTCTTCACCTCCATATCTTCGAGTTTATGTGATATTAGACATAAACCTTCGGCGAAGTTCAAACCTTCCTGAGTCTATTTATTGCAGCAACGAATGACTATCCTGTTGTTGCTCAAGGACTTTTACACTATCCAGTCGACCACAACTTACAGTATCGTCAGCAATCAGCTTTACTTGGCTTTTCATTGGGCATCTCTTGACATTTGCTATCTTCAGTTAGGTGTTTGGAAAACTGCACTCCGCAGTTTTAAATGCTGTTATAGGTATTTTGAAAGCCGACGAAGTTCAGGTTGATATTTAATTTCAATCATGTGCTCTCTTCGATGATGACGCGAAGCGTTGCAATTTCATCCATAAATGAATCACTTTCCCTGAATCAAGCTCGTTTCTCAGCAACATTCAATCTCATAAGGATGACACGAGAAAAGTTTTTTTTCTTAGATTGATAAGAAGCATGATTCTCATCCAGTACGTGCGGAGGCTTAAGTCATCTTTCTTTGATAAGGTTTCCAATCCTTCTGATCAGCATGCAACTTCCCGGCACCAGTGGCATCAGTCCGATAACGAGATTTCAGAGGAGTTACATCTGGTTCTGCTTCCTTTACGGTATCCGAAACGTCAGCCTTTGTTCGGGGATTAGTGCTCACCGCGAGATATATGCCAACTGTTGATGGTATTTCTGGACGATTTTGCAGGTGGTGGTCTATTTCAGAGTTTTCAACGTTGCTCTTGTTTTGTAAGCAATGTCCCTTCACTATGCCTATTGGTTTCATCTAAGCTCCTGACGTGTTAAACTGATGTAGTATTCTTAGATCTTCCTTCTATGTTACAAATTCTGATTCACGTGTCAATGTGTCGCGTCTGATCCTCTTCTTGATTTGATTTCCTTCATGAGGATTCGTCAAATTCCTGAGACTCAGATGAGGATTATCTGTAATTGGTGTGTTCAAGTAATGAAACCTATATCATTTTGTGTGTTTCGCTGTTACCTGAAGCCAACAACTGAGTGAGGATACAATAGTATTTGAAGGGTCCATCGTCCTCATATTTTTTATCCACAACATCTCGAGCTACGAAGAGTCGCCTTCCGTTCTTGTTTGCTTTCATTTTCGCATTCTGATGTTGCTATTTTGAGGCGGAGTACATTACGACTTTCAGTTGTCTGTTGATTTCTTCTCTCTCTCGTCTTGGTCCACGTTGTCTGTAAGAGCACATCACTGAAATTCGGTTCGTTTTAAGTGTGTGTTGATATCCTGTGAGTGGCTGAACCCTTATTTGATTCAAAAGTCAAGACGAGTAAACGATGTGGGTTATTGAAATAAAATGGGACATTGAAGTGTTGCCACCATCTGCAAATGTAAACAATTATACCCAGAAAATGTTGAAACATAACGCATAGTGAAGTATGGTTACAAAAGCACAGTCGAATTAAACTCGCATTCGAAAATAAACACAATTACATGTTTTATGTTGAATGCAAACGTTTAAATCAGTGAAAGGAAAATGAATAAAGAAAGTAATAAAAGCATTTGTAGAACGACATTTGAGTTTATCAATCATAAGAAGGATAGGCGTCGGTTTACAAAACTTCAGGTTCACTGTACTAAACCTCATCTATTCCAGCGTCTACTTCTTCGGTAACTTGAATATTTACCGGCCTTTCCGTGCTTAGCATAATCCCCGTGCACTGATCTCGTGTTTTTTTTACTTTAAATAGAAATCCTGAGACTTGAACACTTATATCAAAGTAAATGGGCGAAGGAATTTCTCGAAGGTAAGTACTGTCATGAACGCACTCAATTCCATGATGTTCGGGAATCGAACTGTGTGTTGATTAGAGGCATGCATTTTCCCTGAAGTTAAATATGCTGGATTATGAATTGAAGTGAATTGCAGTGTCATTGGAGATGACCAAAGAAATTCAACTAATCCACAAAGAAATCATCAAAACTACTATTTAATAGCGTGATCTCTAGGTGTCAGTAGCACTGAAAGTTCTCTCAGTAAGCATTCTGCAAAATTTTATTGAGAAACTTCGAGTCGGAGAATGAATTTCATGTACACATTTCGCAAAGTATTCCACTACACATCTTTCCAATGCGCATAGCATTCAATAACGAATTTCAACATAAAATGTGACTATAACAGACCATATGCAGAGTGAATGCCATTGATTCACCTTTTGATATTCTTTTCAATGCTGAGACAATAAAGTCAGACAGATAAGTTATGTAACGCCTCAAACAAGTCGCCTTTTTGCACGTTTAATGTCTGGAAAATCTTAGTCCACATCACTTTTTCTTATTGTGCCCTTCTTGACATGTTTCCGAGTACAAGTAAATAATTTCTCACAATTATCTATACTTCAACAGTAGTCGGTGCAAAAGATTTGAAGCTGGTGAATTTTTCTACTGGTAAGTTATTTTACTCTAAAATAATAATAATCACAGTATATATGGCACAATAATTTGGTACCTAAAGAGAATACTACCTCGTTACTGTTTGTTGAATGAACATGAGCTGAAAATACTTTGGTCTGACAGATTTAACCAAAGATGTTCATATTGATTAATATTTAACAAGGCTATCAAGTGAAGCCGTTGTCTTTAGGCTAAACTGATGCAGTTTAATCCATTTAATGAAACATTGTCAAATTGCTCTTCATTGCAACCACTACTGACGCCGCATTCAATAATGAAACATTTTCCTCCATCATCCACTTCCTCTACAATCTCTTCTTCAACATTAGCTTGTTCAATCCACACATGATACAATGAAACAGCAGCATCATTGATAACATTCCAAATATAATTTATGGTTTATTGATATCTCAAGTTAATTTATAAGACTTAGAAACTTTAATTGTGTAATTCTATTTTATTTTCATCAAATGTCGAATGATTGAATAAGTTCACAATTATTCAGTCCCGTTGTGAAATTATTACTATTATTCGTTCTTCACCTTCCTGGGTGAAACATCGAGATGCTCACTCGTAATGATTTTTTCCGAATGGTTCAGCCTAGAACAATACCATGAGTGTCAGGAGCAGGGCCTTATCTTAACCCAGACATATTCAATGAACTTTCCGCTGTGAGAAATTTTTCATATGGCATAATCATATACTTATTGAATGACATGAGCGGGGGTGTGTGGCACTTAGCAGTGTTGGTGAAGCAAGCAAGTTACTTCATGGTTGATACTGTCGAAAGTATTCGTGAATTCGATAAGGATGCGGTAACCAGTTGACTGTCAGTCTATCCTATGTTTGAAGATGATTCACAGATGTGAAATTAAATTCATCCACGATTTGTCCTAATGAGAGAGGTGTACCTCACTGTTCTATCTAGAAATGAAGGTTTAATACGGTTCGAAATGTCATGTGTTTATAAATGAACTTAATCCACACTTGCATACTATCACAGTGAACAAATATACAATGCTGATGCTCGGCTATTTGAGGAATTAAATATGTACCAAGCAATGCTTCTTTTCTCTATAGATGAATACAGGAAGGCGTTTGAAGAAGATATTGCTTTTCAGCTCAACGTTTTTGGTATGAGTGATTTTTCTGAACTAAAATTTGTAATTCCACTTAATCCTAAATTCATTGGTTCGTTGCGTCAGTGATCAGTTCTGTGAAAAATGTACACAACATTTTGGACTGGTGTTTTGTGTCAAGTTACCTATCCAATTTACTATGATACTTGCTTTTAAACCATATCAATCGCAATTCTCTACCAAAATATTTTTGAGTAAAATTCCTTGAGGATAAATCTGGTAGCTGTTAGTACATTTGTTAAAACAGTAGATTGTTCTCTTATTCGTTTCCTATGGTTATTTATCACTAAGATCCACTGTTACCACAGATCACATTGCAGTGATGTTCAGAAGATCTCCGGGCTATCTGTCTATTGAGTGATGACAGTGTCATTTCAAGTGATGCTAATTGTCATAGTTTGTATATATACAGTCATACTGCTTCCTACTCTTCCACAGAAAACTGACCACATTCACAAGGCGTCATGCGTGTCTTAGGTGAATTCACTGATTGATATTTAATATTATGATGAAATTTGTTGGATGCCTACAACTGGGTTATACTAAGATATCTAGATAGAGTTCCTCTGTCGTCATGTTGGGAGAACATTTCACAGCTCAAATAATTATATTTTACGAAGCTACAGTGTATTAAATATACCTAATGAATTTTCATTTATGCCTTCAGCTCATGAGGGACTACACAATGTGGTGAAAAGGAGTATTTCAAAGAAATGGGAAAATCGAAAACATCTGGATATTGTAGAAGGTAAAATTTTTACTATTCCATTATTTAGAAAGACAGTAGGTTATTTGATTTTTTGTAAGAAAGTAAATATTCTTCTTCTGCAATTAGGCTTAGTTCGTAAAGCCACAGAAAACTTTTCATTCTTACACAAGATTCATCACTACACAACGGAAGGGCGATGTTTTCGCTTAAACATCACACTCATGAGTGTGAAAACTGAATAAGCAAGAATGCAATTTTGATGCATCACTTACTGACTGCCTTAAACTAAATCACACATAAATTGGTGACAGTGCAGAAGAAACCGACATTCTCTCAGTGTAGTTCACAATTAGTTGATTCCACTCTCTGATTTATCTTCACAATCGTGTGCATATTAAGGCATCTTCACATTCTGCGATTTTCTCATCAGCACTGATATTCACAATTGATAGAGGATTATGAGAATATTTGTGCACTGACGCGCTGTTCAAATAACTGAGAGTAATTCAGGGAATAGACAGCAGTAAGCAAATACCATACATTTATTCACTTAGTCATATTTTGTCATTAGAATCAGTCGATAACTGACTACTTGCGATCGATATGTGAGTGATAGTACGCAGACTAGATGGCCTGATAACATTTCCTAATAAAGCTTTATACCAAGTAAGCAAGTTAACTGTGATGGTGCCATTTAAATTGACGTCACCTGAAACCGTTTTCAAATAGATTGATTGATGCTGGGTTCATCATATACCTGGAGGATTAATGACCATGTGGTTTATCAATTGCAGCTTTATATTTTGCGGAGACATCAATCAATTTGAATAGAAACGAAGGTTGGTTTTCTTTTCCTTTGAAATTCATCCTTCGTAACTTGTAAACTGGGCTAAAACATCCCTCTTTATTTTGTGAATGGTTGCTTCTCTGATGCCATTAATATGCATAATCACACTTCCCCTGAAATATGGTGATATTTATTCGCAATAAACTATGTCTAAATATCTTTTCTGACATTCAGATTCAGAAGATAGTTGATTGCTCGACTCAATTCTCGAGTTTTTAAAACATGTAGAAAAGCTGTTTGCACACATCCGAACAGTCTCACTGCTCAAATTCACTTAGCATCAGCGTATTTAGTACTGGTACATAACACATCTCCGTCACAATATCGAACTCTAGATACTTGGATTTCTATCGGGACTCTATTAACTGAAAGATAGTCTTGTTGAGAAATGTGTGGTGAAACCTCTGAAAATGATCACCTTTGCTCATATTTTATCACCAAAAAGTACAAAGTGTATTGAGTGCTTTCAATATTATTTAGGGTGAAAGGTGCGTAAGTCAACATCCAGGCCTCACACACTAGAGTTTACTCAGAAATAATGCACAGAAATATATTCACGCAGTGAAGTATCAGTTTAACGGTAGAAGACAAGGCACTTGTAAATCAATGCTTATTGGGAATTCGGTATCCTCAAATTACCAAATTATGTACACCTTATCTTCAAACTACCATTTGCACAGAACTTCGGCGTTGTGCTATTTTTCTCCTTTATATTGCATTTCTTCGTATTTGTATCGCATCTGTCATTTTTTTTTATTTGACGTCAAATCCAGCTCTTTGCTTGTCAATGTTTTTATGCCGAAGAGCGTCTCTTTAAATTCTATTGATAAATCCTATCAGCCGCGCAGGCCACTTCAGTCCATAACATGCAGACCCTCCTAAAAATGTAGCATGTGCTTATAAATACAACTACTCGAAATGTCATGTGGTTGGCTAGACAGCTATGTACTGCGGCAGTCAGTGCCTTTCGTGCTAATAGGATTATTTCACGTTACGGAATACAAAGAAAAACATTTCATACTTTTTGATATTGTGAAATTATAGTCCAAATTGGAATGATACAGAAGGACTTGATGGAAGCGAAGAAAGCAATGGAGAAATTCAGAGGTAAAATGACTCTTTAAATATGTATTGCACACTCCCTTCACGAATGATAAGCTGTTAGCAGGAAAATGCACTCATCATTGTGTTTATAATTAGTCGTTAAGTGCCCTGATTACTCATCAATAACAGACACAATAACGAGGCTGTATTAGATATCTTTTTCGCCAGCAGTACAATAACTTCTCAGAATTATATGGAAAGTCAATTTTATCACCAAAGAGTCGAGAATATTTCCGTGGAGAGTTGAGTGGGCGTTTGAAAATTAAAATATTCAGTGTGTTATAAGAAGAAAAATGTGTTGAGAAGTTTTTTAATTATTATGAAACAATTTTCGGATCGTCTACATATATTGTATTCAGTATGGTGACAAATATGAAATTCAAGTTTCTTGACCAACGTTTAAAATATAATTCAACACTTCTTGTTTACTAAGCTGAACTTCAAGTGCTGGAAACAGCAGCAGTCTCCGCAACTAATGTATACAGAAATAAAGCCAGTGAGTTAATATATTTATCAGTTTTATTAGTTTACCGTAAAGGACAAGGAAGCTTTGAACAGGCCTATACGATTCATCGCTGGATGAACGTGGTGATGATTAAATATAATAAGTAGGCGTATTTAAATGACTGTCAACACGCAGACGCCTAACAACATAATTTACCTCAACTTTTGAATAATTTCCACTCCGCTGTACAAATGACGTGAAACTAAGATTGACTTACAGTTTGCTTTGTATTGGAAAGCACACAAAAGAATAGATCGAGCGTCTATCTTCTCAAAATATTTGTATGTTAGTTATTGGGAAGATGCCACTTACTGTAGAAGTGGAATGGTTTATACTGTCGTAGAATAAAATTTGATAATAGATTAGTTCGTTGACTGTTACACAAAGTGTCATGGTGTTCGAAACTAGATGACTTCTCCGAGACAATTTATCTCTCATATCATACGATTGTATTATGATTACTTAGGTTATTTGGGAAGATGGAATAAGGAAATATCAGCAAACACTGAGCGAACAGTTTCACCCTCCTTAATACATTTCCAAGTTAAAATTGTATCTATCAATAAGCTCCATGAGATACATCTTTGATTGATTGAAGATAATGAAATTTCTACAACAAGAAACTTAGGCGCTTCGCGTTTAACAGTGAATGAGATTATCAGAACTGCATCACGGTGAGTAACTCGATGCTACAAATGATGAAAATTTCGATCGTCTACAAGCCATCATCAAATGAAGTATGAGCGGATATAAGCAAAATATTGCATGACATTTTCAAATGGCAGCGTTTCGTTCCTGAAGATTTCTATGTTAAAGATCGTGTGAAGGTGAGGACGACACACCAATTGGTCGATTAGTTTAAGTAGGAATTTACTCACTAATCGAAAATACAAGGCGCGCAAATTACTTACATATATCTCATTCCACATTGAATGTATTTGTATGGAGTATTTCCCTTCAATAGTTTCAAGTACGGATGCGACTTTGAGTTTGATAACAAGTCATTATTCATTTCAGACTCATTGAATGATGAGAAAATTACGGAAGCGTATTGGAAGGCTCGTACTGATTTAGTCGTCGCCACAAGTAATTTTACATAGCTATTTGATTTGATGACATTTGATATTTCATGCACTTCTCAAGGAATTTCATTTTCGTTAAAGAGACACAAGTAGTCTGTGTGGCTAATGACGTATACATTATCAAGTTGTCGTATTCGCTGATACCACATACGGCTATATCATTGACAAAATTAACAATATTACTTATTACACTAATATTGGAATCTGCGAATTGTTGGACAGTCGGTGAGAACTGGGTCTGAAATATCTATGTAAAACAGAGTCAAATCTACCGTTGATGTAGTGTTATTTTCACACTATCGAAACACGCAAACCTATTCCGATAAAGCTTCAGTAACCTAATCAGTGCATCATAGAATAAAGCCAGAAAAAGTGTATCATATATTTTGTGAAGTTCAGAATAACAGTTGCATTGAAACTATACGACATGATTGAACATATTGAGATTTGAGGTTTATTTCATGTCGCAGCATGACATTGAAAATGCTACTCGTTCATTACTGACAATCTATTCGCTGTTTTAGGAGAACTAGTTAAAAAAATAGAACCACTGGAAATGAAGAGGATTGCATATATGAAATGTAAGTTGAAATAGTGAAATGATTTACAACTGCCTAGTTCAAACCCCAGAAAACAGAATAAACTGGCTCCTGGATGAAATGAAAGAAGATGCCAAGCAGTATTATTGAAGTAAGTTTTTGACTAACTGAACAATTCCATATGAACTTGAAGATGGGTTTCCCTGTTATCTGAAATCAGCTAGATGAATGCTTGAGAAATAATTAACACTGAAATTCTGTCCGCTCTCATTTTTCGTTGACTCATCAGTTTACAAGCACGTCATGAATCACCTACTGCCTGACTAGTTACATGATCACAGTCCGCGACTGTGCACAATATCAGGATTTACCAACTGTTAGGAACATCGTAAATTCAAATGTGTTTTGCACAGCTGATTTCTGTGAGGTGAAATGTAGCTCGAAATCAACTGGATAATGTACACACCTATTCCGTGTTTCAATCTCCACTGGAAGTATTGCCTTTAGAAAAGTGTCATTGACGGTTAAAAGAAAAATTGTCAACATTAATTTCTGCCATACCAGATACGTGTCTATTTTCAACACAGTTGTATTTTGCTTCCGTTTCAGCTTTGTTTCAGCTGCAGAAAAGTGAATTCGATTCCAAGGGAATTCAAGCAATATTGGTGAAGGGAATACATTGTTTGCATATCTCATGTTTGTTTAATTAAATATAACATTTTCCTTCTAAAGTCTTATTTCACTTGGTGTTTGTTGTCTTTCCAGTAGAATGAGATATATCAGAATGAAGTAAGTAAATGTAACAAATAGGCTAACCACTACTGTACAACTCAAGGATTGTTGTTTTGACTAATGAAGTCCTTTGAGTAGCTTAGAGGAAGTGTCCATGAGGTGAAGTTTAATTATTTACCACATAATACAAAGCACGTTTACGCACGAAGAAATCCCTTCACTTCGGTATTTTCAAGTTATTCGATACTCACATTTACAGGAAATACAATAGCAAAGCTGACTTTTGAAGACCTAACCACTTGGAGATTGATGGCACGTGGGTTGGTTGTCTACAGGTTATTTCGTTAACCACAATCGAATTATGCGTCATTCGAATGCTGAAATTCATCGTCCATGTTATGAAGTTATATTATGGTCTGAGAATGACGGCATTCAAAGCTTCATCTACAATTCTATGTAAATAAGTCATCATTATGTTTTAAGAAATCTTATTTCCACAATAATAGAATTCTTTAATTATTGTAAAGTTTCCAAAATAACATTGACTATCAAAAAGGTATTTCCATTTCTCAGATGTTTTCAGCAAAACAGAGTTTATCAGGAAAGCTGTGTATACCTAAATATAGTCGAATTAAAACAAAGACAGTGAAATACAGACTCTGTTAACAATATACTTAATGATGTAAATATGTCATAGATTTGTCCATTATATCACAACCGAATCGTTTAGATTTCGCCTTCTGCAAAAGCGACATAGGCACATGAATGCGTCGAAAGTATTTTCAATCGTCGAACACGACTGTCGTCCCTGTTATTCAAAATCTCCAAACACTTCGACACGATAATACTTGCGAAATCTGCTGTCACAGGGTAATCGTGAATTGGTAACCTTGACATCCCGGTGGATATATATGACTCACAGTGAATATAAGTCAAAGTCACTGAGTCAGGCAGTTTGGTAGTCAGCTAGTCAGTCCATACAATGAGAACATATGAGCAGAAATGTGAATGACAAGATAGATCGAGTTATGATTGTCGGTGCTGAATAAAGGAAGCACTGATTTCTATCAGTCAGGACTGTATCACGACTGACTATTCCATGATAGGAGAACTTTGTGTGTGTTGAAATCGAACACTGATACAGTAATAATTAATTAATTACTATGTGCTTGTAACACCAAATATATCCCTTCCTTGTATGATGGAATTCAACTGAACTGCACCACAGTGTATACATATGCTCTGCTCTCCTCGAATGTACTATGACTGTCTGATGATTATTGTGATTTGGGACTTCAGTGGATTTTGATACTTCACTGTCACCTTTTGTTGCCAAAGTGGTGGTTGTAGTCGTTGAAATGAGAAGCTTAGCCAACTGGAGAATCGCCGACTTCACAGGTAACGAATAGGTAAAGCATGATGAATGAGTACAGATCTCAGTCTCAGTGAGAATGCAAGTTCTTCAGCTTTCTGATGGATGCATGAATGGTTGGATGAATATTAATTCAGGGTCGCCTCGACACATCAAGACCCTGTGGTTGGAGTTCGGTGGCCTTAAGATGCGTTTTTCTGAAGAGTCTTGGACAAGAGCGGAATAGCGATCCAGTAGTCCGTTGTTTAAAGTGGTACTTTAAGTGATATCAGTCCGTAATCAAAACTGAAATCTATCCAGCCACTTGCATACTTACAATCTAAAAAAAATAATTCCACTAATTTTTTCAATATTTTAATGCATTTTCATGATAACAAATAGAGTGAGATGAGGCATCTAATATAAGGTATATTATTGCTCAATAATAATTCGAGCATTGTGTTTGTGGCTAGGAATGCTTATACTAGTCACATGAGTATAGTCCCAGCAGGAAGCATTACGTAACTACTGCTCGGTAATAGATTATCAGAATCTCGATAGAAAAGCAGAAGTATACTCAGTATGCGTTTAGGTTTCAATTCATTGTGATGTTTTAAAATAAATGTATCATATTCATAAAAGAGTAGACATGCCTTGTACGTTAGTTTACACTGTTATCACTGTATGGAACACAAGGGTTTTTGTCAAAATTCGGTAGCGGAGGAACCTGCAAATGGTAGATTTAACTATCATTTACCTAAATGACGTTGAATGGACATTTCCCTTCATCTTAAACAGGATTTACGAATAAACCTTGATGAAGCTATTAGCATTAAATAGCGAAACGTCAGTGAAAACAATATTGTTTTGTTTTTCATTCATTGGGAAATACAAAAACCTTTATTATAATCAGGATTTACGATTGCATAAATTCAAACATATCAGGAGGTACTGGTTAGATTTCATGAATCCGTTCGAAAACGTTAACTTAAAAGAGTTTTCAATGATGATGCGCACCTGAAGCATCTTGTGAGGTCCAGGCATCTGCTTTCCAGCCATTCTCGAGTTCCGAGATAATAGGACATAATCTGTCGATCTTTATAGAAACTGTCAAAGGATCTCCCATACATTTGATTATGGAGGACATAGACCACTGAGTGAAGACCTCTTGAGATGTCTGATCCCATATTTGGAGTAAGGAATGCGTATGTTCACGCTTAATTACCAGTTTTATATAAGAGTATGAAGACATATTGATCAGACACATTAAATTGATGGTGAAAACGACACAGTTCGCCTATATTTTGGGAAATCTACCGCAGGAGTTAAGAAGTATAAAACGAAGCTTCGATGAATAACTATTTCTACGATAAAACTATCTAAAATTGTGAAGAAGATTATTAGGCAAAATGTGAATTTACTGACAGGTGTGATATTACAAGTAAGCGTATGCATTAGGCTAGAAGCATCAGAATGAGATGACGCAAATTACTCATATCACTATAATACAGATAATCAATCCCTGAAACTTTGTTCGCAATATTTACATAGTGGAAAAATAAGCGACATTTTAACTCACAAATTCACCCATTTCGTTCAAAATACTCTGCTTCACCCATCAAATACTGACGAATGCATGTTTCTGAAGCATAATCTATTTGGCTGACACCATGCAGCTTGCCAGACAGTTGAATATTTCCAGACAGAAATTCAGATATATGAAAGAAGCTATGAGGAAACATTTATACAGAATTAAATGTGAGGACATGAGGGTAAGGCTGAAGTCACAAGTTGGTGTGACATTATTAGGGATTAAATGCATTAAGGTGGAACATTAGTAAGAATGTTTGAAAAAGTACAAAGAAGTAATCGAACTATTGAACATAAGCTATGCATTCAAAAGAATTTCGTACAGCCATTATCCCTCTCTTGGCCTAATAAGACATAACCAGCTGATGACTTCTACACCACTTCTTTCTTATATTTTCAATCCCACTCTCATCACCTATTATTCTTATCACATCTTCATTAAAAACGTGTTTCGTTTACTTCCTTTACACGCTGCCATTACTTTGTCAGTTCATTTGTTTTTCTTAGCCTTTATCGACTACTTCTACTTGAACATTTGTTTGTTTAATCATGCTGTTTTTCGTTATTTGTGTTATTGCTAATTGCCTCACTTTTCCATCGTTATTACTGATAAAACCATTATTATTATCATTACTACTATTATGACCAAATGCAAAATTTATATTCACCATCGTATTATCCCATAGACAAAACACTATGATTGGTTTTTATTTGAATTTTTATTTGTAAAATTACGTATATTAGAGTTAAGCGTGATGAGATTTAATAGAAAACACAAATTGTTCGCTGAAACGTGTTTTTTTTTTCATTTCACTGTTATGATATTTAATATAAAGAAGAAATCACCAAAACTTCGGATGAGACCAACAATTTTAGTATAATTAGTAAAATGTAGCAAACTTCAGCCCAATTTCAGAGGCGAAAATAGGGGCCACTCAGCCAGCTGGAATAGAAAAAACCCGAAGAATTATAAACTAGTCCAATCTATTATGTTGAAGAATGTAAAAGTAAGCTGGACTATAAGACTTCAAGTAACCCAACAAAATTACTCAACAACAAGCTGACGGGCTAATATCGTCGATTTGTTAGACAGATTTTTAACGATAGTCAGATTAATAAATATAAAAAATATCACTAGAAGTTGGCATATTCAACACCTGTTCAGTGAACATGAAACTGTTTACAGTCCCGTAGAGAAATATCAGAGGAGATAAAGAATCGTATGAAATCAACGTTTCAGATTAACAATTGATTTGAATATGAGGAACACAGTGTTTTTGCTAACATTTAGAATAACTGTTGCTATAGCACAGTCTGATCTGAAGAAATATTGAACCAAAGTAATATAAAAATGTGAAACCCTGTACACATTACATAGTCAGCGAGGCCAATGTTCATACAATGGGAAGAGTATTTACGATATAAGAGAAACATAAGCGTTCTTAAATATTTTGGAAAGCAGAAGTTCGTTAAAGGAAGAAAACAGTTGATTTTCACTGAGATGTTTCCACTACGACAATAACCTTCAATGTGTACTAAAGCCTAAATGACAGAAAAATGGTAAATGTCATTTAATCATAAGAGGAATAAAAACGACTCCTTATGATGGAAAGCACAAACTGAACACGGAGAACTATAAATTGAATGGGAAATTTTTCCGGGATTTTATCAGAATTTGCACAATAAAATCAATTTTCAAAAGGCTATTGAATTTCAAAGTTATTGATTCATCCACGTTCAGCGTGGCAGTAGCAACCAAAGCCTCATAAAGTACGCTTCCAAAGATGATACTTTCTACATTGTCATTCTAAACTAGGTTGAATATTCTACCAATATTAGCTCCATTTCAATCTCCCAAGCGTACCTGTCTGTATCTTAGCATTTAAAGTGAGTAATGATAATACCACTCTGTTAAACTGTCTTTCCTGGGGTAGCATATTCTCGGTCTCATTTTTCTGATTGAATATTAAGCTACAGAAATGATCCTCTTTCACCATGTTGCAT